AAAAGATTCAGAAGAGTGTCAAGAGCTTTAAGTGTACATTCATTACTAAAGCGAAAATCAACATTTCTCGTTTTATTGTTTCACCAATGATTGACAGGCGCTATGCCAAGATATTCTGGTATATTAGTGTCTGAACTTAAAACATCAAGGAAACAAGTTAAGAATTATGTTGTACCTGCTTAGATAAACGACCAAGAAAAACAAAATCAATCTGCTTACACTTGTACGTAAAGGGTTAAGGAGTTGATCTAAACGTTTACGCTGAGTCGAACTAGAATGGTTGCCTACTATAGGGATAAACTTCAGATCCCAGGACCCCTAGGATTCAACATATATAACCGTGCAGTTTTTGTTTTCTATATTATGGTGGCATATTTCTACCATCGACTGTCGACTTGCGAGGTACATATGTCGACATAATGCGAGAAGATGTCGACGTCATCTATGAATATGCTATAGGATAGGCTAAACTTATAATAAAGAAATTCGTTGAATGCATAAAATTGACAATATTAACTATCTTCTTCATGTATCCATGCTTCATGTGTAAATATTAGTCAATTGATGAACGGGTTTTACATCGAAATCGTCACTTACCGTAGGGTTAGATTCATCATCTTTAAGCATGTTATGTATATACATTAAACATAGAAATCTCTATCGATACCTACCACCACTCTACCTTTATAGACCTCCTTGATAATGATATAAATATCACTTCTTAAAGAATCAAATGCACATTTCTGTCTGTAAGACAAATTGCTTTTTACATGTTTAAGGTTATAATTTTGTAATGGAATCTTTTTTCAAACTATCAATGACGTCTTCTTAACATATGTCCGTACACATGGATCAATACTTTATGTGGAAGAAGCGATGGATAGTTTACCATCATGAAACAGAAAAACTCATATTTGATAAACAACATTGACTGGAAATTATCACGTTACAGTGCTATAAATATAGATTACAAACCGGTTTGTAACACTATTTATAAAGTACAAAACAGTGTTCTGTCGTGTGCAGAAATGTAACGTTTAGGATTCATTCAAGCGCATGTTATGACAAAACATGTCTAACAGCTGGTACTATGGTAACGTAACAAAACCGCTATTTAAAATCAGTTGTGTAATACCGTTCTTTTGGATATATTGGCGTCGCCATAATTTGGTATTTTTTCTCAAAATTGGTTGGAGAATTTAAGATTGTCAAATTTTGGCGTTCAATGATCCAGTATGCCAAAATATGTTGCTTTCCGATGCTTTTAGTTATTTAGTTGCTCAATCAGTCCATTCTAAGGTTGTACGGCTAAGTGACAGCACTCAGTCACCTATAGCCTTTGTACCCAAGTATTTTACTAAAATCATGTCAATATGGTACGAGTTGATATCAGATTCAATGAATATGCTTATATTTCGTCTCATATGGCTACACAAAAGAAATAAATACTATACAGTTTGATTCAAGGTTTACCTGTTTGTCATTGATCGATAAAGATCGGATATACTCTAAACAAAGGCGGAGGAATAAAAAGAAACGAGTATGGATTTGGTAAATTTGTAGGGTATGTAGAAACTCTAAAATATCTAATGGTTTATTCGAGTTGTCATTTTAAAGTGTTTAAGAATACAAATCCCTTTGTAAGAAATTGAATAAAAAGCGTTGAAGCCTTGGTTCTGACATAAATGCTTCACCCCAGGTAGATTGTTCTATCCTTCATACCTATCTGTGTGTATATGGTACACTCTATTCGTTTGTATTAGTGGTTATAGGTCCGCATCACTACCAAATAGTTCGGTTATTCAGCAGACAAAAAAAATATAGGAAGAAGAGTAGAGGGAATGTAGTATGTAGTTAGTAAATCCACGAAAAAGCTGTTAGCGGTTTATAAAAGGCAAACATGTAGGGAATTCCCACATAGGCTATATTTGAAAATCTGTGTTTCAAGAAATAATTTTCATGCCGCCAACTTTTCCAGGAAGGATATTTGATCCCTGGTGGAACATATAACATGTCCATTTAAGGAGAATAGAGCATAGCCTAATTCGTGGAAAACTATGTGTAGCTTTATTATACAGCTCAACAGTCGGGGTACTTACATGTCTGATTCCTAGGACCTTAGTATACTTCCGTGTATTTGCATTCTGCGAAGGCGAAGCGTACTACGGAACTTGTAAACGGTCAACGTACAGATCCAAAATATCACGGTGAGTATGTATAATATTACTTTGAATTCTGGCATAAAATCGAAAAGGGAAAGATAGCAGTGTAGCTTCCATCGATGACCGAACCGGCGCCTAAGCCTCCAAGTCCGACTTACTGATTGAGATATTATCGAAAGGGTATTTTCCTCTATCGCGAAGTTAATAGCGACATTAATCTTTTTTAGACCATTGTTAAAAACCGTGAAAGCTTTGTGGTATTCAGTGGTTTATCCAAAACTTAAGCAAGCAGTAGTAACCTCAAGCTTATCAACATATTCAGATTGCAAAAATATTGAATCAATACTTAATGTGGAAGAAGCAATGGGTAGTTTAACATTATGAAACAGACAAGCTCGTATGTGATAAACAACATTGACCGGAGGTAACTAGGCAACTATCACGTAACAGTGCTCGTAATATATGGATTACAAACCGGTTTGTAACACTATTAAAAAAGTACAAAACAGTGTATGTCGTGTGCAGAAATGAAAATGCTTGTATTTTGTCTTACCTGGATGCACAACGATGTGACTTGCCTGCATACCCTTGAGCGAGTGCATAATTGGGTGGAGGCAGGTTATATATAGGTCTTCGTCACTTTGAAGAGACAGGCGTCATTTGGTAGCATACTTTACTCACGTAATTTACCTATTGTATATAGCGTATTTTCCTGTATTTTCGTTATCAGCATCATCGCTTACATCGTCTGCTTTCTTATATTGGAAATTTATAATAAGGTTGCATAATAACAAATGATCACACTGTCTCTATCGTTGTCGACGAATGTTCATTCCTTGATTTAATAGGAAATATCATAACGTGTTAATCAATACAGTCATTAAGTGGATACCCAATGCAACAGTACGATACCACAAAATGATTTCTGTTACCTAAGAGATAGCAGATTAATTATCTTTGCTATTGACCAATTCAAACCTTACTATTCATTTACTGCATTCAGTGGTGTAGATTTTCCTGACAAAATAGAGCTGAACAACGATAGTGTAGACGTTGTTTTTGGTATGTTTTTTAACAGATGTTAAGATATTTACCTTACTACACTATTTGGGAGGTGATGTAGCAGGAAAGGGATATAATAGTGATGAGTAACTCCTCCTAAATTGTGAACCAATGCAGTTAGGCGTATCTTCATAGGGAACGTAGTCAATTTGATAGGTAAGTAGTCAAATGTTCAAATACTTGAGGAAATATTTGCCATTTCAACTTATACATGGTAGCTGTACATTAATGATAATGAAAAGATGTGTTTTTTTATTTAGATTTACTGGGGTTGTAGAAATCTATCTTAGCCCGTTATGTGTCCGTATAGCAAATTGGGTTACGAACATATTACAGATATGGAAAATCACCAGAGAACACTTAAGCAGTCAGAATTAAAATGTATTAACACACATGTATCACATTGGCGATCTTACTTAGCCTAAGGTTTGTCAATGTGTATTTGCAAACTGAATTTGATTCAAAATTGATGTGCAGATTGAAATCTTGCCCCGTTTAGGGGTGTTTTTAAATAAACCCATTATAATTTGGTAGCTTGCGTCGGAGAGTCATGGTAATGTTGTATTGAGAGCAGCGTCTATCACATGAGTATATAGCAATTACATTGTTGGAATTGTTAACATATTAAGCATGTTATGTATTTACAGTAAACATACAATCTCTCTATTGATAGCTACCATCACTCTACCTGTATAGACCCCCTTGATACTAATATACATATCACTTCTAAAAGAATCAAAAGCACATTTCTGTCTGTAAGACAAATGACAGTTTACATGTTGATGTTTATAATTTTGTAATGGAATCTTTTTCAAACTATCAATGACGTCTTTTAAACGTCTGTCCGTACACATGGGTGTGTTCCATTGTTGTTAAAGATCAACCCCGTTGCTCTCAACATTCTGCTTTCACTTTCTTAATTACAAAATTGATAGTGTACACGCAATATCCAGCAGAATTTTAAAGTAGCTGCCTTTTGGTCGTAAGGCCTAGACATAATGTGCAATATCCGACATTATACGCCACGAGTGTTAAAACACATGTTCACTATCTAAACATCGGAAAACGTGTACAAAACCGTCTGATTTGTCCAACTCTAAACAAAGGCGGGGGAATAAAAAGAAACGAGTATGGATTTGGTAATTTTGTACGTTATGTAAACACTATAAAATATTTATTGGTATATTCGAGTTGTCATTTTAAAGTGTTTCAGAAAACATATTTCTTGGTAAGAAATTGAATAAAAAACTTTAAAGCCTTGGTTCTGACACAAATGCTACACCCCCGGGTAGAATTTCCTATCGTATATACCTATCTGTGTGTATATGATACACTCTATTCGTTTGTATTAGTGGTGTTAGGTCCGCCTCACTACCAAATAGTTCGGTTATCCATCAGACAAAAAAAAATAAGAAGAAGAGTAAAATGAATGAAGTATGTAGTTAGTAAATCCATGAAAAAGCTGTTAGCTGTTTATAAAATGCAAACATGTAGGAAATTCCCACATAGGCTATATTTGAAAATCTGTTTTCAACGAAAAACTGGTTAACATAAGTTTTTGAGAGCTGTTCATGTATAGAGAATAGAATCCGGCAAATGGGATTTCGAGTATCAAGAATAAAAAAAAATATACGTTTCAAAAAATTATTTTCATTCCGCCAACTTTTCCAGGAAGGAAATTCGATCCCCGTAGGAACATATAGCATGCCCATATAAGGAGAATAGAGCATAGCCTAATTCGTGGAAACTATGCGTAGCTTTGTTATACAGATCAACAGTCGGGGTACTGACATGTCTGATTCCTAGGACCTTAGTATAAGTCCGTGTATTTGCATTCTGCGAAGGCGAAGCGTGCTACGGAACTTGCCAGCATTTGTGTTGTAAACGATCCACGTACAGATCCAAAATATCACGGTGAGCATGTAAAATATTATTGTGAATTCTGACATAAAATCGTAAAATGAAAGATAGCAGTGTGGCTTCCATCGATGATCGAATCGGCGCCTAAGCCTCCAAAACGCCTTTCCGATTGAGAAAGTACCAAAGAGGATTCCCCTTCTGTCGCAAAGTTATAAGGCGACAATGATATTTTGTACAATTGACATATGTCACAGTATTGGAAAGAAGGAGTAAGACCTTTATTAAAAACCGTAAACGTTTTATGATATACAGTACATGATTCAAAACTTAAGCAAACAGTAGTAACCTCAAGCTTATTTTCTAATTTAGATTGTAAATACAATGTAATCGGTATTTTATGTGGATCTTGATTAAATTGATATGTACAAATGAAGCGATGGATAGTTTAACATTATGACACAGACAAGCTCATATTTGATAAACAACACTGTCTGGAGGTAACCATGCAACTTTCACGTTACAGTGCTCTAATTAGGCCTATAGCTTACGAACCGGTTTGTAACACTATTTACCTAGATATTCCGTGTTCAGAAATGTAACGTTTAGGATTCGTTCAAGCTCACGTGATGACAAAACATGTCGAACAGCTTGTTTTTTGATAACGAAACAAACTCGCTATTTAAAATCCAATTGTGTAATACCGTTTTATTGGATATATTGGGGTCTCCAAAATTTGAAATATTTTTGCTCACAATTGGTTGGTAGAACCATGTTACGCGCATCACATTTTGGCGTTCGATGATCCGGTGTGCCAAATTGTGTTGTTTTTTTATGCTATTAGTTATTTAGTTGCTCCATCAGTCCATTTTGTTACGGTAGTTGAATAACAACTTTCAGTCATCTATAGCCTTGGTTTTCCCAAGTATTTTACTAAAAAACATGTCAGTATGGTACGAGTTGGTATCAGATTTCATAAATATGCAGTGTTCTTTATATTTGCACAGAAGAACGAAATACAATACAGTTTGATTCTAGATATACATGTATGTTATTGATTGCTAACGATGAGACTGGTTTGTATAGATTGAAAGACATATGATTTAATCAAAAGTTTGTTTTATGTATACCTGGAATTTAATTGATCGATAATGATGCGACTTGCCTGTATACCCTTGAACACAACAACGGATATTGTAATCGATAGACGACTTTTGGCGAGTGCATAATTTGGGGAGGCGGGTTATATGGACATAGGTCTTCAACACTTTAAAGAGACAGTCGTCATTTGGTACTGTACTTGATTCACGTATTTTACCTATTGTATATGGCGTATTTTCTTCTATTGTCATCATCATCGTTACCATCCTCGGCTTTCTTATATTGAAATTTGATAATAAAATTGAATAATAACACATGGTCGCTTTTGATCGATGTTTATACCTTGATTTAATAGGAAATATTATAACGTGTTCATCACAACAGTCATTAAGTGGATACCAGATGCAACAGTACGATAACACAAAATGAATGTCCATCGTTATTAACATATTTTACCTGAGACATAGGGGGTTTCTATCAACTTGGTAAGAATTTAACTTCCACTCAAAAGTGATATCAACCAAAGTGCGGATGAATCATCTTTGCTATTGACCAATTAAAACCTAACTTTTCATTTACTGCATTCAAAGGTGTAGATTGTCCTGTCAAAATACAGCTGAACACCGGTAGTGAAGATGGATGTTTTTTTTTATTTAGTTGTACAGGGGATATAGAAATATATCTTAGATATCTCGTCATGTATCCGGATAACAAATTTGGCTACAAACAGAGTGCAGATATGGGAATCACCCGAGAACAACAAAGCAATTAGAATTCAAATGCCTTAAAACACATATATTTACATTTGCATGGCATTGTCACTATATGGCCACTTTGAAAGCTGTGTCGTTGATGGGACTTTAATTACCATGCATCACGAGACACAATTCTTAGCGTATTAATACAACACTGACCGGAACTACAATATCCAATATAAATAAACATGACGGCTGCTGAAATATCGCTGGGCATTGTGAGATTTGACAATGTCATTGTTAATTTATGTGCAAAATAAAAAATAAAATAAAAAACACTTTTATTACAACGAAAACAAGACCAAGGTCTGCATTATCGTACAAAATGCACATCGGTTGAAATCACCAATGCCGGCAATGGAAACAATTTTAACGCTCATGCAATTTATCAGAAATATCGTCTGTTACACTGCACTGATCAACAGGGGTTCGTTACAAATGTCTGAAATACACATATTCTATAGACCTACTGACACATATGTTACAGACCTACTGATATGAGTCACAGCACACAGCTAGCGCGCATTATGTTGTTTGCTTGCAAAGCTGTGTCATTCAAACAGATCATAAATACCATACAAAAACAGTTCAATGCTTAAATATCACATTGGCGATCTTACTTAGCCTAAGGTTTGTCAATGTGTATTTGCAAACTGAATTTTATCAATAGTGATCGATGTGCAGATTGAAATCTCGCAATGTTGTGGTGTTATCGATTAACCAACCTGAATTTGGTAGCATGCATTTGAGGGTCATGGTACTGTGATTTTGACAGACCTCTGTTGTGATAGCAGCGTTTATCATGAGCAAATGGCAATTGAATTGTTCGAATTATTAAGGCAGCTTTTAAAACTCTTTCATTGCGTTTTCTGCATCCTCTAAATCATGCGCTTTCTTTTTTTTTTTGTCAATCATGAAGTTATTGATATGACGACTATGTAATTGGTCTCCCGTCTATTTTCATGCAATAACATTTCCGTTGTTAAAGGAACTGAAAAGATGAACTAGATAAAAATATAAATAATGCGGTTCCGCTTTAATACCCATATATATTTAACTGATTAGGCATAATATATCGATATGTCCTTCACAATCGTGCAAAAGCCCGACATTCTGCTATACTCGTGATTTATATATTATTTAATGGTAAACTATTATATATCCTCTGTGTATTTCGTAACGTAATACATAAGCCAATGTCCTGTATCACTTGAGGCAGTGATTCAAATATGCACTAACATGTGAGAGGTTGGTTCCTTTATAGAAACCATCACGATTAACCCTTTCACCTCTAGGTAACTTTAGTAGACTCTACCATGTATTTATGGGGATGAGTCCAGTATGGTCTACGGTGGTGAAAGGGTTAACATATCAAAACCATCTGTATTGTACACATGGCTCATTTCTATATCAAATTACCTATGCATCCTATATAAAATACAACTAACTGCTTTGGTTCACGAAGGATTGTAAAGTGTCTATTCAATAACACTAATTAAAAGGACAATAAACGCTTTTAAAGCCAACTCGCCGAACTCATATTCCCCGCGGAAAGAGCATTATTTAGCTGTAGACCATGAGTGAAGATTGGTGCAGATATACAGAACAATGGTATAGAGGCCACCACGTAAACGAGCCGGGACAGTGTGCCTTCCTTAAAATTGAATGTCAAATTAGATATCATAATTGTGTCTCTACTAAAGTTAAAGGTATAAATATGTGATGAGAGGATGTATTCACTGAAACATAAAGACATTGTATGAATACGCACGGTAGCACGACCATAAAGACATTGTATGAAAGCGCTTGGTAATAACTCAATTCTAAAGGTACATGTAAGTACTTAAATGTTCAAACACCTGAGGAAATATTAGATATTTCAATTTTTACATGGTAGCTGTACATTAATGATAAATGAAATCTGTGATTTTTTATTTAGATTTAAGGGGGATATAGAAATTTATCTTAGATATCCCGTTATGTGTCCGTATAAACAAATTGGACTACAAACAAGATTGCAGATATGGAAAATCACCCGAGAACAATAGGGCAGTCAGAATTAAAATGCATTAATACACATTATCACATTGGCGATCTAACCTAGCCTAAGGTTTGTCAACATGTATTTGCAAACTGAATTTGATCAATATTGATGTGCAGATTAAAATCTCGCCATGTTTTGGGGTGTTCTCAAATAAACCCATTATAATTTGGTAGCTTGCGTTGAAGAGACAAATACCTTCACATATGCTTCTTACAAATCTTGTGATATCAGCGTTTATCATATGAGTATATAGCAATTACGAATTTTTGAATTGTTCAGATATTGCAGCCTCCTTTTCCTCCCATATTATCTGAATCGTAAATGATTACAAATGAAAACCACGCTTGGTATGCAAGTCATTTCTGAAACACTATAAAACAAACGCATTGTTATCGAAAGTTTAAATAAATGTTGCACCTGTTTCGGGTTCCCATAGTGCGCGTACAGCACAGGAAACGCTTTTTGTTCGAGATTCTTGCAATGTTGTATTCCCATTTTTCACGCTTCTATTTGATATGCAAGTATTGCATTTTTAGTGCGTTGTATAACATGGAGAAAATAACAATTCTTTCGTTTATTCTGCACAAGTCGTCCTTTTACATTGTATGTTTCCCTTATCTTTCAGATGGATTCAAGGCTTGTCTACCATGTAAGTAGCATTATACTTGTAATGCTCACCGTGTTTGCAGACAGCCAGAACTACTGGGACGACACACGACGTGGGAAAATCCCTGCTTGTCTCACATCGACATGTGATCGAGGTCAAGATGTTTGCGAGTGCTATCTGACAATTGAACACCGTTTGACTATGATGCACGAAGAGTCACAAAAGTTGGTTTATTCATTGAAGGGTCGTCTGAAAGAGTTTGATACAGCGTCTACCATAGAAAACCTAGATGAACTACCATTTATCTTGACGGCAGATGGAAACAACTCTCGATTAGTTATTGCTATAAATCGTCGTTTTCCAGGACCAATGATCACGGCGTACGAAGACCAGACTGTGATCGTCCACGTCCGTAACATGATGCACACAGATAGCACAACGATACACTGGCACGGAATGCATCAACAAGGGACCACATACGCCGACGGAGTAGCTTTCATTTCTCAATGCCCTCTAGGACACGGTCAAGAGTTCACTTATAAATTCAAGGCTAAACCACATGGCACCAGCTTTTACCACGCTCACATCGGCGACCAACGGACAATGGGGTTGTATGGAGCTCTCATTGTTTATCCTAAACAAGAACTTCCTTCAACAACAAGAGCAGAACACGTGGCTGTGCTGCAAGACTGGAACCACGACGATGATGCTGCAACATTGTATCAACGCATGCTGTATGGTGTCTTTGATCAATCGATACGATCTCGCTACGAGCCAACTGTTTCTAATGATGGAGGAATGTACAGTAGGTTCTTGTTTCATTCTGGCCTTGTGAATGGAAAGGGTCGCTATCATAGAAGCGATCGCACAACCAATGAAGCGCCCTTGACCCAATTCGAGGTAATGAGGGACAAGTGGTACACTTTCAGAGTCATTAGCGCAGCCACGCTTTACCCCTTTCTTGTTTATGTGACTGGACATTCCAATCTGACGCTTATAGCATCTGACGGTTTTGCGATTCAGGAACTTGTCGTGAATGCCTTCATAATTAACCCTGGAGAAAGATATGATTTCAAGATATACACAAACCAGACGGATAGTAATTACATGCTTGTAGCTAAAACCCTCGAAAAAGGTCGATTTCATGTAGCCGAAGCTATAATCCACTATATGAATGCGAGGATCAACGTCAACCCAGCAGCCCTACTTGCTGCTGCTGCATTAAGCTGCTCTCCGAATTGCATATATTTCAATTGTCCATACCAAAGTCTATCTAATAAAGATGGAACCTGTTTGACATATAATGACGCAAGAACAAACGATTTTAATTCAAGGCCGGAGGAAGTTGCCACTATTGATCAAGAATTCTTCTTTAATTTCGCTTTTCCAGGAGAGGATGGTTTCAGACCTGGTTCAGTAAATGGTCGTCAATTCGTACCGCCAGTCTCTCCGCTATTCTCACAACCTGAAGGCTTAACGACCGCCTGTGCTGCTAACTGTGCTGACAATAATTTATGTACATGCACATACACCCAGGAAATTCTGAATGGAAAGGTGTACCAGTTCACACTGACCAACCTGGGGAACGGAAAGGGATGGTCACATCCGGTACATTTACACGGACATTCATTCTATGTCATGAAGATGGGTTTCGGGAAATTTGATTCAAAAGGTGTACTGTATGATTCGACGCCAGACATATCGTGTAATATCGGATCGAAAGGTTATTGCAACAATCCCGTTTGGGCAAACGCGACCTGGAATGGAGGTAACGTTCCCGGACTAGTCCTAAACCGTACCGCGCAGAAAGACACCATCATCGTCCCTACCCACGGTTATGTCGTCATCAGGTTCAAGGCCGATAACCCTGGTGCCTGGTTCTTCCATTGCCACATTGACCTCCACAATACAAACGGAATGGGGATGGTGATCGTCGAATCACCGAATATGTATCCCAAAAAACCAGAGAATTTCCCAATCTGTGGAGACTTTCGAACAAATAACGATCCAATAGCGGCAGTTGATGCTGGTAAGTAACGTGTTCCTATTTTTGAATCTGTTTTCATAAAACACTTTTTTAAGAAGAACATATTTGAAATACATTTTCATTCTTTGGACGTTAGTATGTGATTCATCACTTCGTATTTCAAATGATATTTCTAAGTGGTTGACTCTACAGTCCCCAAGGTTTCTCGTGACTTAGGCGGTCTGATGTATTCTCGTACTACTTGTTCAATATTATTTAGTGTAGCCAACGATACAAACTAGTCATACGGTGCAGTTTATATCTACTTTATTAGGCTTTTTGCTTCTCAAAATTTAACGTTTTAAGACTAATTGTTTTTATCCCTTTTCTTTTCTTCTTCTTTGTTTTAATTTTGTTCAAAACGGCAGGCGCTGCCTCTCATTGGTCGAAATTCAGATATTGAATTTTTTGTCAAATTTGATTTATAGGTGTATTATTACAAAAAGATTAATGACATCAATTAATATCACTTTCGACTGCAGTGGTAGTTTTGGGAACTATGTAACAGTTACCGTTACAATCATTTTGTTGTTGATCTTTCTTTCAAATTTTTTTGTTAATTCATTTTATCTAGACATGATAAAGACGTTGCAGCTTGTTCCGATCGAAGTGATATACACAGAATAATGATTCTTATATGATGTTTAAAAACGTTTTTCCCTGATTCTAAAAACTTTGTAACTTTCAACCAAACATACCATTATCTTCAAGTTATGTAAAAAGGTGCATGAGTTATAGAATCAAAGGGTTACTAGTTATATTCTCAAAGTTGTATTAGTTATATCTATAAAGGTAAACTTGTTGTATTAGCAAAGGTATATTAGTTATTTTATCAAAGGTGTATTAGTTATATATACAACGTTGGATGTACTAGATATATTATTAAACTTATACTAATTATACTTTAAAAGGTATATTGCTATATCATCGAAGATGTACTTGTAATATTATCAAAGGTGTACTAGTTATTCTATGATGCGTGGAGCTCAGGAGGTAAATGAATCATTTTTGGTATTCAATATAACTGTCAGTTCATGCTTTCGATATGTATATTCATTTTTTGGTAACGTCAGTTTAAATACATGTTTATGGTCAAGGGAACCACCGATACTATACGTTCTGTTCTGCCCCATTGCAGACAAACCACCACTTTCAATCCCCGATCCTGCCGGGGCCCCACATAAGTCGTCTTGTACGACATGTTTCTCCGAACCTGTATAGGAATCTTTATAATATCTACTCTGAATTCAATATAACTGTCAGTTCATGCTTTCGATATGTATATTCATATTTTGGTAACGTCAGTTTAAATACATGTTTATGGTCAAGGGGACCACTGATACTATACGTTCTGTTCTGCCCCATTGCAGACAAACCACCACTTCAATCCCCGATCCTACAGGGTGCCCCACATTAGTCGTCTTTTACGACATGTAGTGGGAAACAGCAAGTCTATTCTTTCCCCGAACCTGCATGGAAGTCTTTAAAATATCTACTCTGCAGTTTTTTGGTGGTATATAATGTCTTTCCTTTTGTTTTGGTATCCCCCAGTTTCTATTGTATCTTTCGTAACAATGTTGATTTCAAATATTGCTTCTGTGTGTTGTTGCGATATTTAGCTATATTTGTTTATATTTTATTTTATTTTGTTTTTTATTATTTTTATATTAAATTTCATCAGTCAGTATTGTTTATCTATTTTTAGGTTCTACCTGGGAAGTTGACTGGATACTCTGCTGGATGGCTGTCATTGGAATAATAAATGAATTTATGATGTAACAAGGAATTGGAACAGTGTCAAATTCTGCATGCTAATGCAAAAAGGAAAACAAAAATAAGGAACGGATTTTCGTAAAAGTCTTTTGCATGATCATCTCCAAAACTAAGATAAATTTTGGATTCGAATACATATAGACTATATATATATATATATTGCACGTTAAAAATTATAAGAGTTAATGGTATAACAATTTAATATTTCAAACACAAGTCTTGCTTAAATAACAATCAACAAAAGTCTTATAATTAAAAAGGTAAATGATGTGCAATCCTTGCCCAATCAATGTAGTAATCGTTTGATAAACTTAGTTATATGACAGAAGGACACAGACACGGAAATCCATCCAATGATACGGAGTCCATCAGCAGGAATTACGTACGCACACTTTATTTCATCTCGTTGTGTCACACGAAATTTTACTATCTATTCAAGATAAAGCAAGTGACACGACTGATAATATACGTAACCACCAAAACAAACCAAAACTATATTTGCCACAACGTCAAAAATCCCAGATATACTATTATTAATGCGTAGGGTTAATTTTTATTTTACTATTGACATATTTTTCACACTGTCAATATTAATATTTCTAAAAGCAAGTGACATTGTTGATAAATATTTGTTAACATGCAAGCAATTCAGAAAACCATCGTTATAGGAATGGCCCTTGAATGACCGTATTATCTGAGGACAAGGTTTGTTTGATACTTTTTAGCTCACCTGGTTCGAAGGACCATGGTAAGCTTATGCCATACTGCACCGTCCGTCGTCCGTCCGTCAACTTATCCTTTAAAACTCTACTAGTCCTGAACGGAAAAGTAGATTATGACTAAATTTGGTCTGGAGCATCCTTAGACCAAGGGGACTCAATCTTGTATAAACGGTGGGTGTGCCCCCCCCCCCCCCCTGGGGGCAGAGGGGCGGGACCAAATAGGGGAAATAGAGGTAAAACATTGAAAATCCTTCTTCTACCGTAGGGATTAAAGGATTTTATCCTAAATTTATATTGAGCATCTTTGAGCCAAGGGGACTCATTTTTGTATAAATGGTGGGTCTGGCTCCCCTGGTGACTGAGGGGCGGGGCCCAAAAAGAGAAATATAGCAAATTCTTTAATATACTTCTTCTTTTGTAGAAATGAAAGGATGTGTTCCATATTAAGTCTAAATCATCCTTGTGTGAAGGGGAACCACCTTCGTATAAACCGACGGTCTGCCCCCCAGGGGCCTGAGGGGCGGGGTCAAATAGGGGGTAAATAGCAAATTATTCTTTAAAATCTTTCTTTTCCTGTAGGAATGAAAGGATTTGGTCCATATTAGGTGTAGAGCATCCTTGGGTAAAGAGGAACCAATTTGGTATAAACGGTAGGTGTGGCCCCCCTTGGACCTGGGAAGCGGAGCCCAATAGGGGAAATAGAGGTAAAACCTTTATAATCCTTCTTCTACCATAGGGATTAAGAGATGTTTTCCTTATTTAGTCCGGCGTATCCTTGGGTAAAAGGAACTCAATTTCGTATAAACAGCGAGTGTGTCCCCCCCCCCCTGTAGGCAAAAGGGAGGGGCCCAATAGGAGAGAAACATAGCAAATTCTTTAAAATCCTTCTTCTTCTGTAGGAATGCCAGAATTGTACAAATTTGGTATGAAGCATCCTTGGGTGAAGGGGAACCAATTAAATATAAACGATGTATCTGACCCCTCTTGGATATGACCCCCCCCCCCCCTAGGGGCATAGGGGGGGGACTCTGTTTGAAGTTTGTTCTCGCTCCATACCAATTATTTTAAACATATTCAGGTGAGCGATACAGGCCCTCTGGACCGCTTCTTTTTAAGATGTTGCGAGAATACAAATATCTAAACTACTCTACTTTTTAACAATCATTTTGTCTTTTCTCAAGCGTGTTGTGGTTTGTTAATAAGACTTTAAGATGGGTGTATCACTCTGAGGTCGCCAATATAAAATGTCGTGTATTGAAGAGAAAATGTACATAATGACCTTAGTAACAAATGTCCTAATATAAAAGGGATACGCAATCTAAAGGAAAATGATACAAATTTAAACAATCGTTTAACAAAATTATGTGTGATCTATAATTGTGATATTTTCATCGTTGTAAAGTTTTCATCATGAAGAAAATTGATACATGGGATTGGTATTTCAAATCTGTCTAGTTTTAAAAAAATAAACATAAATAATCTTATATATATATTTTCAAAAACAGGATAGTTTTTTATATTTTTGTCTGACAATATATTCTCGGAAATTATATTTTGAAAACGTGTGTCATGGATTCATTAAGCTTTTCAGACTTTGAACACTCTGGCCCTTTAGTAACATCAAAATATTATTCATTTGTACTTCCTTATCATAATAATCTACTTTTGTGTACATTTTGTGAAAATATGGCTTGTATTCTTCTGTGTTAATTTTAATTGATATAAATTTGTGAAATTATTGTACAAAACATATCATATATCATATTTGCAATTGTGTTTTACCTGCCATTATAATGTTGGCAAATTATGAGGATTAATCTATAATAAACACACATAATCATCGTGAAGGTTGGCCCTCCCTCAATGCTTTGTATGTAAAACATCCTTTTTGTGGTGTAGTCAATAAAATGTGGGTCGACAGAACTAAAATGTAAATAAAGCACATGTTAATCAATATAAGTTTTTGACCTAAAGTATCTAGAACATATAGACCCTGGTGCACATTTTCGAAGAAATGACTATGAGCCGAGGCATTCGCTCATAATAGTTCTTTTAAAATATTTTAATATTTTATCAACCCTAATTGAAAAAAATATGAAGATAAACAGGAAAAACATTATTTTTATTTAACCGTATTTGTAGTATTTTTGTGGTATTGAATAGATTCAGACATCTTGATATAGATTTCCAGTACAATAATGACAAACAATGATATCATACAGTCCGCACGCGGACGGATGCGTGCCACATTTAGCCGTTTTACGATGAAATCTTCTGGTCAGACGTACCTAAATGGTGATATTTGAAAAAAGAATCCGTTTGACCCCTTGGGGGATATTTGGGGTCAAAGTGAGAGGGGGAAATAACATGTTCTCGATTTAAGGCCTACAGCTTATTCTTTATTGTATATTATAGGCATAATATGAATCGTGATATTTTATTATTTTGGTTACTTTTGTGTCAAGAGTAGCTTAAATTTATCTCCATTTCCAATATCCGTTTCATTTTCTCCCCCCATTCGTCAGTCCAGTAACTCTTAATTTTGTTTACACTAAATCGACAGTTTATCTAAAAAAAATAGCATTTCATTATAAACCAATAAGTTATTCTTGTGCTTTAATACGATAATAAAATACATCCATGCGTTCTTTGCTATCATTCCTGAACGGAGCACGGTACTAGTTGTCTCCCTTTTTTGCGTGCTTTTAAATACTTGATTCAGTTCTTTTTCAAATCTTAAAATAAAACTATTATAGTCACAGAAGTTTGTTAATTTGTATCTGATTGAATGTGGTTCTGGTGTTCTATAACAAAAAGCGATCGTGTGTTGTAGAATATTAACTATTTCATAGTTTTATTCAATAAACGAAATATTACCAAATTAACGACTCTTCATTTAACTAGCTGGATGATGATGGTTTTATTCTCCTAGACCTTCTGGTTGTTCAGAAGTTTGGATTTTCCCGAGTGAAATATATTTATTCGCACACTACACGATTGCAATCTAAGAGTCAGACAGACACCTAAGTGTGGTATTTTTTAAATAAACAGTTCGCTATCTGTTGCTTATGTAAAGAATCTATACAACCAACTTCCGGACTCATTCCGTTGTAAAAACTGCAGGAATGAATCTTGATTTGATCGATTGTATTGATTATGAAATGCGAATCACATGTCAATACCAAATGTATGTTTAGGAGAACAAAAAATGAAGTAGCAAAAACGTTTGATGTGTCTTAAAATAAATACAGTGTGCAGTAAATGTGTTTGTTGTTTTGTTTTCCTTCCGACTATGCTACCCAAAACAGAAATCCATGAATACAATGCAACGAACTATTTTACAGCAAATCATAAATTCTAATATATTTAATTTGGTTGACTCGAATTTAACTCTAAGACCTGTCGTTTGGTAATGGAAATAAAGGTCATGAAATACGAAAAATCAAATAAACAAGCGAACAAACCAAAAACAAAAGTTACATTGTTGATGTCCGGGACTTTGAATTAATAAATAATTTCTGTACTTATGCCATTTAATTTTAGTCTAACCATAAAGGTGTGTATATCAATATGTTTCAATGTCGTTTTTTCATTTCCTCCTGCATCATTAATGTGAATTGTATTGACAAAAGTTTGTAGCACGAGTGAGAAAAAGAAACTCAATCCGTGATTATTCATAACGGTTAATCTTTGACAAGGAAAATTCTGCGTATAACCTTTCCTTTTTAAGACATTGGTTTTTGTGAACAGATAATACAGATATAATTGTGCAACTTGTTTAAATATATTAATATTGCCCAGTGTCGCTTTTCCATTCACCCAAACAAAAACCATTTGTATATATACGAATTATAATTACATGCTCATCTTCAAGTTTTGGGTACAAACTTGACCCCACAATGCTTACAAACTGTGACCAACAACCAATAGCGAATATGACTTGGACCACAGTGACTGACCTGGATCTGATGGAAAACCATATCCTGGTCACTTAATATGCAGAAGCGTTGCGTTCAACTCACTGTCATGCCTCGGGCCATACAGAAATGTTGTATATGGTCCAGCTAACCCTAGGTTAGTAAACTAAAACCCTAAGAGTAAAGTTGTTTCAGTTGACCTGGTGTCAACCATGGGGTTGCAGTGAAAAATTGAAACTCGAGAATTATGGTACACGTATGATTTTAACGGTTGACCATCGGAAAACAACTGGGGAATTGGCTGGAATTATTAGAACAAAGACCACTAGTCAATTGAACATGCTTGGTCATAGGATTGGATTGCATACTCCCCTGATCTTATTAATAACCAATACCCAATATGGCATATGTAAATTAGGTAAAGGAGGAACCCTTTGTTTACCGGAGTGCTGTTGGGAAAGGGAGGTTACAGGAGGTCCTAATGTCAGGCAGGCTAAGCTGAAATATTAGAATAATCCTAATCCCTGCACATTTCTGATTGGTTGGATGTATGTCCTTTATTACTCCCCCCGATGACTCTGTGAATTAATGCTTATGTTGATGAAAAATATAGGGTCCATTGTGCATCCTATACTACATCTGCTCAAATGTGTGATTATAATTGTATTATGATATAAGGCAGAGCTTCTAAAAGATTTGCAACCGTGTCTTATATTGTATATGAGACAATAATGAAAAAAGATATTGCTTATTATAACCAGACTTTTTTATGACAAAATATCTGTGTGAAACATCTTTGTGAATCACCACACATAAACTGCAGTTCATTGATTTTGCAAGGATTCATGTGAAGTGAAGACAAACTTAACTAAAAACAAACAAACAGGACCAATAGATTCATGCAAAAAGATTGAAAAGGTAATCTCATTTATGCACATGTGGTGTTTTTAACAAGTGATTATTATTAGTGTTTATATTTCATTAATTAAGATGGGTGTTATTTGTTTTCTCAATATAAAGGTAAGTCAGTTTAGAAGGTCTGTTTGGTGGTTTACTGCGTGTTTATAGCTCAGATATAAGGGTCCAGTAGCTGAGTAGATATTGATAAGGTCAAAGGTTATGAGCCTCCCTGGTGTGGTATCTTC